ATGGAGAAGAGAACTCTACTGAGAGAAACATTGGTTTGGGGCCCTTCTCCCTGAAGTGCTTCAAATTGTCCTATCCACTGGTTTGTGTTAATTATGCCGTGAAGTTTCAGTAAGCCAAATCACAATTGTTTGAAATATTTACCAATGGAAAAGGTAGTATTCAGTAGAGATCACATTCTGGCCTCTTTTTATTTATTAATAGTATTTTATCATACACTTTTTCCACACAATGATGTTCTTCATGTGGACAGAGAGTGCCTTTCAAAAATGTGGTTTTTATTATTGTTATTATTATTTAAATAGAAAAATATAAGTTAATGAACAGTGTTCAAAATACTAACAGAATCTTTCAAAGAAAATATAAAGAACCTATACGAAGTTGTGAAGCAGTGATTTTGAAGGCTACCTAAAGATGGTATGATCTTGTTGGCATGATTTCAGTCAGAGCTGAAGTCTGCTTGAGCAGGTCCTGTGGAGTTGGCTGAGGCACAATCTTATGTAATTTTCTGGAAAGGTTTTGATCCTTTTGGCCCTGAGGAAATGAATAGAATCCTTGGAGGTGTGGGTGTGTCCACTTATATTTTAGATCCATGCACCTCCTGGTTGGTGAATGCTTCCCCTCCTCCCTCTTTTATCTTCATGAGAACTAGGGGGGTTCCTGCCTTAGGCAGTTTCATAAATCTCTACCTTTGTAGGGGATTAAGCCATTTTTATCTCTTTGTTGTCTTGGTAACAAATTGTTCTCTTCTCCACTCTCCACACATAAGCTGTCTATTGGATTTCACAATTCCGTGAATGTTGGGACAGATTTCAACCCCAAAACTATGTAAAAATGTATTCTAACTGAATATATACACTTTTCCAGTATCATGGAATTATTATATTCTTCTAACTACTAATGGTGAGGCACATAACTTACCAGTAGCCGTCGGTTATCAACTGCCTGGTTTAGTGACTATTCAAAATTATGACAATGCTGAAAATGTAGCACTGTGGCCAGTCCTCAAACTTACGATTGTCTTAGTGTTCCGTGCTCATGTGATCACCATTTTCAAGTCTTGCAGATGGCTTCCAATGAGCAAAGCTGACAGTAAGTCCCAAGTTGCAGTCATGAAGATGTTGTGCTTAACAACCACGGGTGATTCACTTAACAACCACAGTGGATCTGATGTTGTAAGTGCGTTGGGTCAACAGATGTTTCACTTAACGAAACTAGCTTTTCCCAGTCAGGGACTCTAACTTTCCCCCATAAGTGCCTAGAAGGCCACAGATACTTTACTGGAATGGGGGTGACATCACTGGTATGGGCAGGGCCAATTTTAAGTGACAATTATTAATTTACCTCTTACACTAAGGTTACAACATGACTCTCTTCTTTCTATAATCTATCTTGTCTAACCATCAAATCATAAACCATAAGTTCAATTTTCTTCCGTTTTATTTTTCTCAGAAGTTCTGTCCAGTTGTGGGAAGATCACTCTATTCCAACCCCCCCCCATCAAACATCAATTTTCATAAGAGAAACTATTGATCTCTCCATAAGTTGTTTTTAAAACAATACGTTGTCCTCATTTGGGCATAAATTCCCAGCATCAAAGTCTTAGTCCCATACAAATTAACTTCCACTCCAACAAATCTACCATGCTCATAGGTCAATACAAATTCTGGTTTTAGTTGGGAATTTATATACAAAACTACTCCATTTCTTCTTTTTCTTCCTGCTGAAAGAAATTCTTCACCCATTTTTTTTTTATAAATCTAATATTTTATGTCCTTTTTTCTAATATGTGTCTGTTGTAGGCCAATTATATCTTCTTTTAACTTTTTCAAATAATGATTTTTTCTCTCTCTCTCTCTCTCTTCTGGGGCACATTTGTTCCATGTATATTCCAAGTTAAGCGTTTGTAATCCATAAATAAGCCAAGAATTTAGAAAAATTGATACCTGTAGCACCTAGTTCAGTATCATCCCTTTCAGATTCCTGTTGCTCCTGTTGGAGTTCTTGTGTCATCTCCTCTGACACCTCCATTTGAATCTCCTCCAATTTCTCTTTGAATTTTTCTTGAAATTCCCTTGTCTTCTGGACATAATTCAGTCAAAACCTCTGCTGTTTAAAAGCAAAAACCACACCTTCCAATTTATCCCATCAAAATGGGATCTTTGTCTGCTTTAATCTCTCAGTCATAAAAGAATATTTTTTTCTCTTATGCAAAATTCTAATAGGACTTTCTTTCAGAACAATTACAGCTGTATTATCAATCTTCAGTCTTGTATTAAACAGCTGCTGCAAAACCTGATCCCTCATGTTTTTCCTGACTTTGAAAGATTACAAAAAGAGTATATCTAAAAGGCAATATATGCAGCTAAAGTATTCTTTCGACAAGACATATCAACTGCTTTGGAAACCTCTATAGATTACAGTGGTACCTCGGTTCACGAACTTAATTTGTTCTGCGACTCTGGTTGCGACCCGAATTGGTCGCGACCCGAAGCAAATTTTCCCATAAGGTTCAATGTAATTACGGTTAATCCGTTCTGGCGTGGAGGACAGGGAGGCGGTTATTGCTTGGAGGGAGAGTCCCCCTCCCTATGACCACGTGTCACGGGTGGAAAAATGGCCGCACACCACGTGTCACGGGCAGAAAAATGGCCGCGGACCACGTGTCACAGGCGGGAAAATGGCCACGGACCATGTGTCACGGGCGGGGAAATGGCCACGGACCACGTGTCACGGGTGGGAAAATGGCTGCGGACCACGTGTCACGGGTGGGAAATGGCCACGGATCACGTGTCACGGGCGGGAAAATGGCCGCGGACCGTGTCACAGGAGGGAAAATGGCCGCGGATCCTGTTCGTCACCCGATCCGGCATTCATGAACGGAGGCAAAATTTTGCGACCAGGGCTGTTTATGAACCGAATTGTTTGTGAACAGAAGCATTCGTGACCCGAGGCACCACTGTATTTGCCCCAGATAAAGTTCTTTTAGAGACTAAACCATCAGTTCCATTTTATCCAGAATGAAACAAAAATAAATATTAACAATATAAAAGAAATTTGGAACAGAGAACTGGATGTTCCTATATTATAAAATCATTGGTCTCAACTTTTAAGAAACGTTAAATGAATTTATTAAGAATAGTATTTATGAACTTAAAACAAGGTCAACACATTAAAATTCTTCCTTGGGTTTATTGGACTGTTTTTGATCTTATGTTGGAGATGTAATGCATGGAAAAGTACATCAATTAAAACACTTTGGTCTTCTTCTTGACAGCTTCTTATCGGTTAAACAGACTTATTATGGTCAACCAGGTTCTTGAAAGGAAATTAAAATGTAATTATGTCTTTGTAATTATCCTTCCAAAAATTTAGAACTTGCCTATTTATGAAAGACGCTGTATTTGTCAAAGTTGGACTGCCGCCTAAAGAACATTCTGTGTTCCTGGAAAGTCACTTGTATATCAGAGGCTACAGCTTGGCTTGATAAAATGTGTCATCTCTCAGCCCTTGAATGGCTATGTATTGACAAAGGTCTAGACAATACAGTTCTGAGTCAGGTTCAACTTGCTGTTGAAAAACTGTATTGCAGCAATTTTCTGTAGATTTAACTAATGCTAAAAAGTATTCATTTGCTTGTAACTTAGTTTGGGAGGGTGTCCATTTATTTTTCTTTCTTTAATCCAGTTCTTTTACATTGCTCTAACTTTATATCTATCAAGATATATTTCTTTTCTCTAACAAATTCATACAGCATAATGGTTTTTTTCCCTAATGATGCACAGTGATATAAGCCATTTGCTACTAGAAAAGCTTTCATCTAAAGCTGAGTTTTGGTAAAGAACAAAGACTTTTAATAGTAGAATCATATATGTTTAACATGAAATGTTCTTCTCAGGATATTTCTGAAAGCATTCCTTACCTCCTGGTTCCTCATGCTGTAGATTAATGGATTGAGCATGGGGGTCACCACTACATACAACACAGAAGCCATTTGGTCTAGTTGATAATTCTGCCTAGAGCTTGGCTGTGCATACATAAAGCTCAGACATCCATAGAAGATCGTGATGACCATGAGGTGAGAGCTGCAAGTGGAGAAGGCTTTCCTACGGCTCTTGGCAGAGTGGATCTTGAAAATAGTGACCAGGATATAAGTGTAGGAGGTGAGAACAGTCAAGCTTGTTATTGTTATATTGAACCCAACAAATACAAATATCAGCAGATAATTAAGACTGATATCTGAGCAGGAAAGAGCAAAAAGGGGAGGAGCATCACAATAAAAATTCTTAATGAAGTTTGGGCCGCAGAAGGACAATCTAGATGCAGCCATTGTGTGCACGAAAGCATTAATGATCCCAGCAATGTAGGAAATTGCTATCAGCTGAACACACTTTCTTGGGGACATGGTGATCAAGTAGAGTAGAGGATTGCAGATTGCCACATAGCGGTCATAGGCCATCACAGCTAGGAGGTAGCATTCCGTGGTGGCAAAGAGAGCATAAAAGTAAAGCTGAGTAAAACAACCCCCGTAGGAAATAATTTTCTTCTCCTTTAAAAGGTTGGATAGGAACTTTGGGGTGACAGATGATGAGTAACAAATATCCAGAAAAGATAAGCTGGTGAGGAAAAAGT